GTGTAGACTACGAAACATTGAACAAGGTCACTGTCAAGGACATGTACCTGCGGCCTATCATGAGTGAGCTCAGAGACAGGTTGTGTAAAGCGAAGATCTTCACAATGATAGACTTAAAGAACGGCTTCAATTTGATCGTGACAGCAGAAGGTGATCAATGGAATACCAATTTCAGAACCCGCTATGGACTGTATCAGTACAATATGATGCCGCTTGATCTATGCAGTACTCCTTCTGCCTTCTGGGTAATGATCAATGATGTGCTAAAGGAACAACTGTATGAAGGAGTAGTTGTCTACATTGATGATATTCTCAGCTACTCAGAAACTGAGGGAGAGCATGAGATAGTGGTCATGAAGGTCATACAGAGGCTCAAGAACGCTAAGCTCAGTGCCTCGATCTGTAGGACATCCTTCCATGTCCGAGAAATACAGTACCTAGGCTCCCATATCTCAAAGAAGAGAGCGTATATGTCAGAAGACAAAGTGGTTGTTGTTAAAGAATAGCTGGTCCCTGGAAATAACAAGGCAGTACAGGTATTCCTTGGATTTGCAAACTTCTATCGCCGATTAATTGAAGATTTTAGCAAGGTTTTCAAGTCATTAACTGACCACTTGCAAAATAACAAGAAATATTATTGGATGGCAGCACATGAGCAAGTCTTTGAAGAACTCAAGAGGTTGTTCACAAGTGCTCTAATCCTTCTCCATTTTGACCCTAGTAGGTGAACTGTAGTTGAAACAAATGCCAATGATTACGCCAATGGAGCAGTACTCTCTCAGTATAGAGATAATGGAAAGCTACACCCGGTGGTATTCTATTCCAAGAAGTTCTCTCTTGGTGAGATTAGCGATGACATTTATGATAAGGAAATATGAGCTATCATGGCCTTTTTCCTGGAATGGTAGTATATGCTCAAATCTTGTGAGCAGGAAATCACGGTTTTTACAGACCACAAGAACTTGTAGTACATCAGCAGACTTGCAGCATTCCCCAGATGCCCAGTATGCTTATGGCGTTCAGGGAGCTCGGTAGGTAAACTACCTCACCAGAGATACGGCAAATACTCCTAATGAGTTCTGGATTATAGTTATCCACCCCAGTGCAGACTAGTCTACCCAACAAGTACCGACACCTAATTCTAGTACTGGGTGCAACCCGTACGTCAGTCTAATCACTAGAGAATGCTAGTTGCTCGTTGGTATATCCTGATTACTCCTGGGGTACTCCTGAATGCTTCAGCGGACCCTGGGATAGAATGATTACCCTGACCGCTCCTAACGTTGCCGGATCGGGTGCTTTGAAACCTGGCTCATGCCCAAAGCACCGATTCCTATATGTCAGCCCCTCATTCTCTCCAGGCTTTCACCTCATCACCATACCGGCCTCTGGTATTCGCAATTTCCCTATGAAATTACCAAAACATCACTCACAAAACAATCTCTACTGCCTCCAGAGTACTTGTGGCTCCACTTTTAGAATTATTGTATTCAACACTGTGATACTCCACTTAATAGTAAATACAATAAGCTATTAAACACCTTAACTAACCATAATACAATATATGGAAAATAACAAATCCCCTACTATCTCTCTCAGCATTCCCGATTATTCTACACATCTTGACCCCCCTTCCCTTTCGTAGTCTCCCGCTACAGATAATTCTATCTCCTCTTTTCCCTCCTTCCCCTCCTATTCGGTGCCAATTCGGTGAAGATGTACATTAATCACTTCGTTCTCGGTGCTGTCAGAACAAACTCGACCTACTGGAGCACTCGAAGGTGTTCTCTAAGTATGTCGGAATGCGGCAAGGTCCGCAGTCAGAGATTCATCATCCTTGCTAAAAACTTCCTCTAGTGTCACCTCATTAGTTACCCCTTTTTATCTAGTATCTATTAGGGTCTCAAGGGGGCGAGTAGCGAGTATTCCGGATGGTACGAAGGGTGAAGTAGGGGTCGGTGTGGGAACTCGCAATAGGGGTCCTAGGGGACTTTGGCGTCGGTAAGGGTCAACGGGACAAGGGGAAGCGAGGCGGTGCTCTTCTTGAGTAGAGAAGAGAAAGATAATATTGTATAGTAGTAGACAGCGTAGATACAGAAGACGTTGCGTTGAGAAAGAAAGAAAAGGAAAAGAACAAGAAATAAGAACGAACCCCCCTTGATATACCCAACAAAATCGCAACGATGACAAATCCAACACGACTCATACAATAACAATCGACGGTACCCGATAGAACCCAATAGAACCGTTCTGACTAATCCAACTCCTCGTAACCCAGCGTATTCACTAGTCGATCCATGAAATAGGGTTAGCGTTTAGAATACCACTCGCATTATCAGCATCTAGAAGTATCATACCTTTTCTCAGAGTTTATCTTTGATTACCTCCAAAGTTGCCTCCTGTTTCTATTTACTTCCCTCATTCCAAGTATTGCTGCTCCTGTTGAACGTTTTTACTCAAGTTTGGATTTCAGCTCGGCAATCCCATATAGCACTAGGAGCATCTGGCATAGCTCCTAAGGCACTCGCCATATTAATGAGGGCATCGGGCCATACTTACTCACAATAGTCTCATCCTACGAGTGAAAATTATCAGGTTTCAAGTAACTCCTGTTGGCTATGCCCGAATGCCATCTCAGATCGCCGTCAATATCATGCAAATAAGGGTAGCGATTATCCGCTCTAGAAATCCTGGATCTTTAACCCCTCACATTCTTACCCCATCGAAGTATTTAAAATAGAATATATCTATAATTTCTTGCATCAGGAAGTGCAGTTGATGGATCTATAATCTGTCAGTGTCTATCTCGAGTGGTTTCTGGGCATCCATCATACCACGTAATGCCCTTTTGGGCTCAAAAAATGATCTTTCTTCAAAAGGGATTCCAATTGATATGCCCTTGCCTCATGCCCCATAAGATTTCCAACCCATATATCGTAGAGTCTGCTAGGCACCATTTCACCTCGTTCATCAAGTAGGAACTGATACGGCAGTGCGGTCTTCTGACCACTTGTTCTCAATTATGCTCCCGGAGCATTTCGAATCCCTTTGGGTGCACTCAACTGTTTAATAATAACTTTATCAAGGTCTACTCTAAATTCCACTCGGTGACTTGAAGTTGCCCAGATATTCACTAGCAGCACCGAAAGCATTGCTGCAGTTGAAAAGGGCTCATTTAGAAGAGTATGCTCCCCGATTAATACGCTACATTGCTTCTCAATTCTCTGAGCCTGCACTGACAGCTCATTTGCACTCCTAGAGTTAGGGACCACAGACCTCTGAATCAATTGGCTTGAAATAATATCGCTAGTGTTCTCTAAAACATCTTGAGTATCCTTCAGAATACTACCCTCACTTCCCGGAATCAAAATACTGTCGCTTTCTGGCATCGGAGAACTCTCATCCTCCCTAGATGAGGGAAGGTACTTGATTTTGTAGACTCTTTGTGATCAACCATGATCATAAGGTTGGCTGGAAGGAATTTGACAACTGCTTACAGAGATCTCGCCAAGAACCTCGTTAGACAGTGAAGAACGAAATGTCTGGTAACTGGGGGAGCACTCCCAGTGTCAGGAGCGCATCGAGGAAAGATCGATTTGGAGCGGAGAAGAGATATACTCAAGAAGATAAACAGGTACAGAGGGTCTATACGATGAGGGTATTGAGAGTGTTCTTTGGGATGCTGAGAGTGCTCCCTGGAATGCATTCTGGCTGGATGCTGGAGTGAGTGTTGTTCTCCTGTGTTCACGTATTACTTTCGCGCTTTGTCGAGTTCCACTCTAAATCGTTAGCCATTAATACTTACATATTAAAAAGCATCAATGACTGAGATGGAGTTGAACCTGTACCACATCCACTGATATGTCGGAAGAAGCAATGACCTCCGCTACGGCGTCAGTTGATTTCCTCTGAATATTGCCTATTGCTCTGTGAGTGATTGGTTAAACTGTATGAGGTCTCTTTCTAACAGTCTGAGACCTCTGGATAGAAGATGGGGGGAGGGCTTGAGGTTTATCCTTCAGTTAATCCTCATCATCCTCAGAGCTTTCCAGGTTATTCTTTGGAGCATCATAATATTCTGAATTGCTAGTATCAACTATTTCTTCCACCTCAGGCACCTCAATTGTCTCAGGCGTCCCCTGTGCTTCAAAATTGTCAGTATGATGCTCGGAGAGATGGAATTGTACCCTCCAGAGATGGGGACTGCTCCTACCAGTGGGGGTTTCGGAAGAACGGAGAATACCTTTACAAGTTATTTAGCTAACGGTGGTCGACTGACTAATCCAAGTGCGGGCTGGCAGTGGAGTCAATAGTCGGTAATATATTTCAGATTAATCAGTGTCTCCATCTTCTTCAGGTCATATTAGGAGTCGTGAGTACTTTGATGAAGGAGGTGCTGTACTGGAAGAATGCTTAGTGGGAACTATCCTGATGACTGGTAGGAATATCTACAGTGCTCTAGGAGCACTCGCGATATCTTCAATTAGAAATTAATTCTTGGCAAGAGGATTTGCGCCGCTAATCTTCATACAATAGGGATCATCTGGTGTTACCGTTATTTCCGTACTCAACCGTATCATTTATCATCAATCGTTTTACTGCACTTTCTGAAAGAGTACCGAGTGCTCTGAGAGGAATGTAGGAGTTTGATTCGACTATGAAATAAAAGCCATGCAATTACTACCTGGACTAATCTAATTCAATCTCATCCAAACTTCTCCGATATAAACCATCAATTGATATACAAAGGGAATTCCAAAACACCAAATCATACTGCACCTTAGCAGCTATCGCAAATGCTCAAATAGTAATCCTAAAAACTATTGAAAGGTTAGTGACAATTCCACAGGAAGGGAAGTTGGAGATTATATCAAAGGGAACTAATGATACCTGCCATCATCACCACTACCACCATTGTCACCACCACCTTCAGTACCAACAGCTACAATTGAGTCAGCAGCTCTATTGGCTGCTATCCCAGCAGGTGTCCAGATCGTCCCCTATAAGAAGTTTGAGTCAACAATCTCGACACCAGAGGGATACTTCCTAACGTATTTGCAGTCAAAATTGTCGATAGCATCCTGCTGTCTATCCCGATACCTAACAAGAGTCTGAATTAGCCTTTGATTATTGGCAGCACTTCTAGGTATATATACCTTCAATTCTTTGGCATTTCTCTGGTGCTTTCCCTCCTCGTAATCCGAATCCTCAGCAGGAATATCGATCATGCTATAATCATTTTCCTCAACGTGAGTTAAAGCCGAGTTGAATGGGGGGGATTCTGTACCACCCAGGTTAGCACCCAACCCTACTCTGTAGAGGACTGCCAATATCCTCCGAGGCCTGGTATTGCTGTTCTTCAACCAATCTTATTCAAAATTCTGATGAACGAAAATTCGTTCAGGGGATCATTGCTATAATAAGTAAGTGGTGGGACGAGGATAAAGGATGCTCCTAGAGCATCAGAGTCCAACATAGTAACAATTATGGAAGGTCACATGAGTTGTGAGGGTACTGCATTCACTTCCCCTTTGTGAGAGCATCTTCCGGGTCCCTGACCACCACCATCATCATCATCATCACTATTACCAATAGCATCTTTGAACTGACGGTCTTCCTGTCCCCTTAGTAACTTATTCTTGGTACCAACATTCGCGATGAGTGACTGTAGAGCTCTCGCCCCTGCTCCATGGGCATCGGATTTACCTCTAGCCCAAATTGCTAGAGAGCCATTGAGGGAGGGCAGGTTTATTAAGTAGAGACATGAGGCATTAAATGCAGCCAATCCGGAGGTGTTTTTATTGACCCAACCTACATTTTGCAATTCCATCTTTAGGCCATTGTAGATACCGGTGTACACTTTAGATAGGTTGAGTAAACATAAAGTCATCTTCGCTTTGGTTCCTTGAGTAATCTTAAATGCGTTAGAGTCCAAGGATATCTCTTGAACCCTGGGGATGTCACTTAGACAATAAGCGATGTCTCGAGTCTAATTCATCTCTGTCGTACTAGTGAGGGGTAGTCCACTAGCTCGGACCGCCGTGTACTAGAAAATAACCGAGAGGAGTATCGGGGCTTGAATGTAGGGGTCTCCGGTGCAAGAGCCTTCGGTGGAACCCTGACGGGTGCTGGTGAGGGAGTACTAGTAGAGCCTGTTGGGCTTGCTGAGTGGTCTGTTGCTGAGCCTGTTGTTGGGCCTGTTACTCCTGGGCCTGTTCAGCAGACTGCACTAGACTTGGACTCAGTGAAAACTTGACCTGGGACTGTTGTAACCGCATAGCACGAGTAAGGAAGAAGTTCGGGAAATCGCAAGACAAAGGAAATCCAAAACATAAAATTGTACCGCACCTCCTCCATCTCAGTAGCAGTCGCGAGTGCTCTGAGGACAATCTGTACAGCTTTTCAAAGGTTAGTAGTGAGAAATCCGCAGGAAGAGTGGTGAGAGACTATACTCAAGGAGACTAATGATGCCCACCACCATCACCACCACCACCGTCTCCACCGCCTCCTGCTGACCCATCACCTCCACCACTACAACCACCTCCAGCTGGTCCTCCACTATCCCTGCCACCTGGAGGAGGAGGAGGTCCTAGACCACTACCACTACCATCACCACCACCTCCTCCACCTCCTCCACCTCCTCCACCTCCTCCCCAGAAGCCGCGAGTGCATCAGCAGCTCTCTTGACTACTATCCCAGCAGGCGTCCAGATGATCTCCTGTACGAAGTTTGGGTCAGTAACCCCCACACTCAAAGGATACTTCCTAAGGTATTTGGGGTCTAAATCGTCGATAGCATCCTGCTGTCAATCGCGACGTCCAACAAGAGTCTGAATTGGGCTTTGATTACTCGCATCAGTTCTAGGCAAATATACCCTCAGTCCTTTTGTATTTATGCGATGCCTTCCCTCCTCGTAATCTGAATCCTCTGCAGGAAGATCGATCATACTGTAATCGTCTTCCTCAATGTGAGAGAAAGCGTGGTTCAACTGGGAGGATTCAGAACCACATAGATTAGTACCCGCACCTGCTCTGGAGAATGCCGCCAATATTCTCCGAGGCCTCCCAAATAGTCCTGACTGCTCTGCCTGGTGCGATGTGCTTCAGGATTAGGTTGCATAGCTCGGGGAAAGTTATCTTGGTCAAAATTCCAATGAAGGAAGGCTCGTTCAGGGGATCGTTCCAGTCATAGGTAGGCGGTGGGGTGAGAATAAAGAATGCTCCTAGAGCATCAGGGTCCACCACTGTGACCATTATGAAAGGTCGCACTAGCTCTGGGGGTACTGCATACTCTTTGCCTTAGCGAGCGCATCTTCCAGCTGTCTGAGCACCACCGTCATCATCATCATCACTATCACCGGCAACATCTTTGAACTGACGGTCCCCCTGTCCCCTTGATAACTTATCCTTCGTGCCAATATCTCCGATGAGCCACTGTAGAGCCCTTGCCAGTGCTCCATGGGTATAAGAGTCAACCCCAGTCCAAAATGGAAGAAAACTATTGAGGTAGGGCAGGTTCATTGAGTAAAGGCATAGGGCATTAAACGCAGCCAATCCGGAGGTGTTTTTATTGACCCAACCTACATTTTGAATTTCCGTCTTTAGGCTATTGCAGATGAGGATGTAGACTTTGGGTATGTTAAGTAAACCCAAAGTCATCTTTGCTTTGCTTGCTTGAGTCATCTTGAAAGGCAATCGCTGTGTCAGGGGTGTCTCTTGAGGGATTGTGGATATCTCTCCAATACTCAGGGATGCCTCTGGAACAGTCGCGCATGCTCCTTGAACACCCGGGGGTGTTTCAGGTATGTTTTGTCTCTGGCATACTGGCAGTGGTGAGGGGCTTTCTGCTACTAAGGTCTGGATGGGCCTGCGACAGGAGGGACTGGTAACCGGCGGGGGTGTCGGTAATTGAATATAGGGGTCGCCGGTGTTTGAGCCCTCTGTAAAGTACTGACGGGTGCTTGTGAGAGAGTGGGGGATGCTTCTAGGACAGTCGAGCCTACTGTACTTGACCTGGGCCGATGTACTGTGGTCTTCAGGGCAACGTTTCTTTGGTGAGCATTGGCGGGTGCTGCTGGGGCAAAACGAACGGGAAGTACGGTTGTCTATACAGGAGCCTCAGGTGAAGCACTGGTGCATGCTGAGGAAACAGTGGAGACTGATTCTAGTGGGCCTCTTCCTGAGCCTGTTGCTGAGCCTGCTTCTTGGTCCTGATCGTTAGGCTCGGAATCAGATTGGATGATTCCCCACTCAGGCAGAAAGCGCCCTTCAGTATCCGATGCAGTTATGCTTGGAGTCAGAGGTTCAGTCCGGATTGGTGGAGGTACGGGATTTAGGTTTCAGCTGTTGTTGATCAAGGTGAACCCGGAAAGCACGGGTGACTGCCTCGAGGGTGTTCCTGTTATCTCCTCCGGGATAGTCTTGACAGTTTTGGGAGACGATTTGCGACCTTGCTGACTGGGACGCAGCTGCCAGCAAGAGCCTCATTGGGTGATAAACACAATCGTTTGAGCACTCTGCAGGAAAGAGCCTGATTGAATGACAAATCAAATGGTTCGAGCACTCTGTACCACATGTAGGAACGAGCTTCCTCGGCCTCAGTAGAAACCAAATTTTCGAGTGCTTTGCCAGCATCATGACATTTCGATGAAATCGTCTTGCCCATTTTGCAGGAAGAGGTATAGCTCCTACGCGAACCTTGATAGACATCTTTGAACGATTCATCCTTTCGAAGCAGATGAATGGCTGGGAAACCAACTTTTACTCCTGGAGCGCGATCAACTGAAGAGACATCAGATAACATTGACGACAGCCCAGAGAGCATTCTCGACTGCTATTCAGATACCCATTACGGTTCGAAGTTGGATAGTTTGGACCAAGACCCTGGTAATAGTTAAGATCTAGAATCCGAATCATATTTTATGATGGAAGAGGCGGATAGAGATGCAAATAGTCATAAGGCAGCAACAACAATTTATGAAGATTGTGGGCAGCATCTCTACTGCTCAGAGGACTACGATAAATGCTTACAGAATATTCTCCGATCCCCGTGGGAACCATTCCGCTCACCATACGAGTTTAGAATGGAACGTTATTTCATACTCTCGAAAGCCTCACAAGGAAACATCGATAGTTTCTTTCTACATGCTCCGGTAATCTGTGGTGAGTACTCCTACAGGACTGGGCGAGGTTTTATCAATAGGTTGGAGGAAATGAACGAGCTATTGGGCAAAGCGAGCTAGCATCATTCGGAGGTGGATATTTGGGGGGTGAAAATCTCTTACTATTACCGGCATCCAATTGTAACGGCAGCTAGGCGGGTTGGCTATTTGAGTTGTCTAGGTACAAGGGAGAAGGATTATGCAGTGTGGTTGGGTTTAGTGAAGCGGGTTTCTATTATGTTCTTTCTGTTTCTGTTACACGAGGGTATGAGTCAGCATTGGTATAGGGTATGGATATATAAGGGGGGCGTTGTCTTGTGATTTCTTGTTTCTCTTTCTTTTCCTTTTCTCTTTATGCAACCTCTGTATTCTACTTGCTCGCCTCTAGCTCGCAAAAACTCCCTGATAACAAACCTCGCTTCAAAAACACTTCATTTTATTCCCCTCGGTTTACCCTGGTATACTATACCAGGTTGAGCCACTTTGTCCCCGATCGTACGGTCGCGTTTTGTTGTTCCAAGCGAAAGAAACACCAAGAAAACTGGCTTCTAGCGAAGAATTCTCCAGCCTTGACCTCCCAAAGGGAAGGAAAAGAAACCTTTCCGAAACATCACTCTACGCCGCCAGAAGAACTGGACATTCAATTATGTCGCAACAAGCCTCGCTCCAGTCCTTTTTCACCCAGTCTTCCCAGCAAGGGACAGCCCCTCCGCAGAACAGGAATACTCCGGTTCCCGATCCAACCCCATCCGGAGCTCAGGAACAAGAATTCTCCTCGACCTTTGCATCACAATCCGACTACAACGACCCATACCAACCGAGAATTGACTACCTCTACCCAAGCATCGTTCCCCAGGACACTCACACCCAGACGGACCTGAACTACATTACCTGGGCCATTAGACATGCCACCAGCCGAATCTGCCCACCCACCGACAGGATGGAAATCCTCGAAGAGCAAACGACCACACTCCGGAGAACAGTGGATACACTGAAACACCAAATCGAAGCGCAGACAAACATGATCACCAGTATGCACTCGGCGATCCACCTTCTCCTCAACAAACAACCACAACCGCAGCAACCGCAGCAACCACAACAGCAATAACAGCAACAACAGCGAAAACAACAACAGCAGGGACAGAGAATGCCCCCTCCAGCGGTCCCCCAAATAGTTCCCCAAGCAGCGCCTCAGGCAGCTCCTCAGGCCCCCCCACCCGTACCCCCCCAACAAGCCCCACCCCGTGGATGGAAAGCAAGCACCTGGGCCGCCGTGGCCTCGGCCCCCGGTCCTGCCCAAGGAAATTTCCAGGTTGTTGAGAGAAGAAAGAAGTCTGCAAAACCAAAAGCGGATCCCCTCTTCAAGCCAGAATATACCAAAATCAACAGAGAAATCATTGTCGAAACCACTGCCCCATCCGACGTCAATCCCTCCGAGATCAGGACCCTAGTCAATTCAAGAGTTCAGGACGAATCCTGCCACTTCATTTCAGCAAGGAGAACACCCAAGGATAACTTTATTCTGGAAACAAAGTTTGTCACCCCAGCATCGAAGGCAATGGAATATGCCAGAGAAATTGAGGAGGCTCTCCTCACCCTACAAGTACCAGTCGCTATCATCCGGGCAAACTCCAAATGGTCAAAGTTCCTCATTCACGGAATCCCCACGACGGTCGGAGAAGGCGTCGAGGCAGGACAACTGGTAGCATCCGAAATTAGAAGCAACTATGGAGAGAACTTCCAACTTGCCCAGGTTCCCCGCTGGATCTCCAGAGCAGAGACTCGAATGGAGAAAACCCACTCATCAATGGTCATCGCGCTCCCAGGACAAGTTACAATGGAATCACTAGGAGTTAAGTTCCTATCCCTCTTTAACCGGAGCTGCCACATCGAGGCCTTCCTCCCAACCTTCCCAGACACCCAATGCGCGAAGTGCCTCGAATATGGTCACCACCAGGAGAAATGCAAAAACAACGGGAGATGCGGTCACTGTGCCGGAGACCATCTCACCAGCTTCCACCCATGCAATCAATGCCAGGGAGGATACAGATGCACCCACACCCCAATCAGATGTCTGAACTGTAAAGGAATCCATAAGGCCTCCGACCCAGCATGCCCCGAAAGAGTCAAACGCCGATTCCTTAACAAAGGAAAAGAAAACGCCCCACCCGTTCAAGACCCACCGGCCGCACCCGTCCAAGAGTCGATAGTTCAAGTACCAGCCACCGCCCCAGTCGGAGCCACACCCGTTCCCGAAGATGACCAACCCATGACAAATAATGCTTAGGCCTCAAACCACCGCGCTCGCACACCAACTCAATTGTGCACGGAGCGAACTCATTACCAAGGCGGCGGTAGAAGAAGCGGAAACAGACTCTAGTATTTATTTCCTACTATTACAAGAACCATGGACCTCAGCAGAGGGATACCCACCAGAATCGAATCTCTTTTATATCTTTACAGCCAGCAATACCAATACAAAATGCGCAACATACGTCCGCAAACATGCCAACCTCAAACCAAAACACCACTACACACACGATAATTTCATAGTATCGATTACGGTAGAAATCCAGAACAAGAAAACCCAAATCCTAAACATATACTCCCCAGGCCGAAGTGGCCCCTACGCTCAGATAGCAAGTACAATCCAAACCCTTGATAATTGCCTATTAATGGGAGACTTCAACTGCCACCATCAAATGTGGTACGGAGTAAATTCACATGAATACAGAAACAACATTCGAGCAGACCGCGTCAATGGTGCACGACTAAAACGGTGGATAACCCGACAGAAACTGTCCCTCCTGAACGAACCAGGCGTCTTTACGCATTTCCCCAGAGACAGAGGGAAAAGGCCCACAACCATCGACCTTACATTTGTAAAAGGCCCAATACTCGATCACAACCTACGATGGAGCACTGAACCCTACGGAGCGGGCTCAGACCATGGGAGAACCTCCGTTCACTTACACTTGGAGAAACCACCTTTTGTACCAAGACGAATGTGGCGACAAACAGACTGGAAGCTATTGGAAAACTACATGTCAAACATTTCCATCCCTGCAGAGGCATGGGAAACCAAGGAACTTACAGAACAGACTGTTGATTTCTTCCTAGATCTGGTCAGGTCGACAGTCAGCATAGTAACACCGCTCCCGAAGGAGGGGGTAAGAGCCAACTCCTGGTGGTCAGATGAAATGAAACAAATGAAGGCAAAGGTAAATGCAGCAGAAAGGAAGGCGAGGAACACAAGGAAACCCAATCACGTGGAGGAACACCGGAAGGCTTGCAGAGAATGGACAGTCATGATCCGGAAAGCAAAAGCGGACCAGCGGGAAAAGACGATGAACGAGGCGAAAGGTAGTGAAGTCTGGAGAATCCTAAACGTAGGAAGAAGAAGAGACACAATCATACCAACCATACAAGGTGAAGAAACGTTTACGGGGAAGTGCCAAGCTCTAAGAGCCCAACTTTTCCCCTCGAAACGGACGTCCCCCGACCACCCCCCCCTAAACATTAGACCCCCTTCTTTTGACCTTAGCAACACCTTCGACATAGTCACCCCCGAAGAACTTCATAAAGCAATCGACTCCTGCCCAGCGCACTCGGCGACCGGCCCGGATGGCATCCCTTATACCTTTATTAAAGCAATAGCCAAAGCAAACACAACTCTAATCCAAGATATGTTCTCCGCCATGCTCCGGCACGGCGTACACCCAGCGGAATGGAAAATAGCTAAGTGTATCCCGATCCCGAAACCCGGTAAAGCAAACTATCATGAAGCAAAAGCCTACCGGCCCATTTCCCTTCTACAATGCTTTAGCAAAATCCTGGAGAAAATAGTGGCTCAAAGACTCTGTACCTCCGGGGAAATCTTAGGCACACTTACTGCGAATCAATTTGGGGGGAGACCAACCATCTCGGCAATCGACGCCCTGCTGAGAACCTTAACGCCAATACAACAAAACCTACTACTGAAAAACAGTACCGGAGTCGCTCGGCGAAACAGACCAGCGATCCTAACCAATGATATCCAAGGAGCATTTAACTGCGTCGACCACCTACTCCTCGCGGAAATCATGCAACAACAAAAATTCCCTACCTACTTAACAGAATGGTGCAAGGAATTCAATACCGGCAGAAAACTACTGTTTCAATTCAACCATGAGCTAGAAGAGCCACAGCCCTATGATTCTGGAGTGCCGCAAGGTAGCCCCATGTCCCCGGTGCTATTTATGATCTATGCTGGAGTAATCCTGGACCCAACAAACAGCCCGAAAGAGATGGACACTACTTACATCGATGACGACGCGCTGGTACAAA